GTCTCCAATATGCTTGAGCCAACTGTTGCAGTCACCGTAAATTCATTCCGGTGAGAGTCTCTCTTTCTCTGATCTTCCATCTTTCTCAGCATGATGTCTTTGTCTAGGGACTGGTCGGTCACTCCTGTCAACAAGCCCAAAGTATATGAGGTGTAGTTTCGCCATCATTGCTTCTGTGGAGCACTCTGCTTGCACTCCATCCTAGACATATTTGTTTGTTCTTTTGACACTTCATATGACATTTGTCTGATACTATAATTCAAATACGCTGATTCTTTTTCTATTGTTCTTATTCACTGTCCAACTTTCGGATGCATAGGAAGCAATTGAAGTATGAATTGGATCAAGTGTACCTTAGTCTTTACCATCTTTGTTCTTTAGCCCTTTGAAAAGATCTTTGACATCAGATTTCCCCCAATGCAACAGGTCTTTTGATTTCTTGACTGCTATTACCATGAATGTTGATTGTGAATAGAAAAAACCCTATGAAATCATTGATAATTTTAATAATTTCTCCCTCTATCATGATGTTTCCTACTGGGGGAAAAATGTGTAAGAGATAGAAACAAAAGTTTTCAAAGCCACTTGAAATTATAAAGCAAAGTATTATAACAAATATCCAAAAGGCTGAATGAAGTTAGGAAACTAAAAGTGGGGAACATGCTGAGAATTTCTCAATCTGAAAGAAATAAAGAACAAACCTAGAGTTGCAAGACTGAAGGATTAAAAATGTTGAATGATGCAGGGACCACCAAAAGAAGATGGAAGGAATATACAGAGTCATTATATCAAAAAGATTTAGTCCAATGAGGGAGTTTTTCTTTTGCTTTTCAAGGAGAGGAGCAAACGCGTGGGGGTGGGGAGGGGTTTGTGCGGGGAGAAGGGTGCAACAATGAATGAATGGAATTCCAAAATCTGTGTAGATGTTCATTGAAATGAAAAATAAACAAACTAAATTATTAAAAAAAAGATTTAGTCAACACTAAATTGTTTCAGAAAGTAGCTCATAAACAAGAACTAATGATACTGAAGGAAGATGCTTAAGATATTAAACTCTGAAGGTATTTGCAGCAACAACAACAACAACAACAAAAAGGCCCCAGGAATTTATGGGATATCAATTGACATGTTTCAACAGAGGCAGCCCTGGATCCGCTCACCAGTCTATGCAAGGAAGTGAAGACAATAATAACCTGGCCTACTGACTAGAAGAGACCTTTATTTGAGGTCAAAACAGTAGAGCTATCCTAAATTGGAAAAAAAAAAGTTGAATGATTCAAAAAATGTGAAACTAACATTGAAAAGCTGTCTTACTTACGATCCAAGATATGTGAACAGCTGGGAGCTGTTTGCTTTAAACCTTCCTAAGTTGAAACTTTTCACAGTAGAGAGGCAGAATAGATGATGTGTGTGTATGGGGTGAGTGGAAGGACAAAGAGTGCGTCTCCATACGCAGGAGCTGAAGCAGCCAGCAGAAATGATTATTTTCTTTCTCACCTTCCACGATAGAATAAATATAGGGATTTGTTCCATGTGTATTGCATCACCCTTCAGAGTTTACAGAGTGCTTTCACATTCATTATTTTATCCTCATGCAAAACCTAAAAGAGAAGCATAGTGGGTACTGTTTTCTCAATTTTTGAGATGAGAAAATAAGAAGCTTAAATTGGTTAAGTGGCTTTTCCACTGAATGACATTATACATTAGGGCCAAGACTAGAACTCACATCTTTTGTCTCTGAAAGTGGTGCTATTTATATTACCCCCAATCAGTTTATTATTTTCTCCTTCCACCTTCCAATTTGGAGGTATAAGTTAATAAATGAGGTTTTTTGGGCCTACTTCTTTGCAGAGCAGCAGAAGCAGCAGCAGCAGGTGGAGGAGTTATCTCCAGTAGTTTATTTAAGTTTATCTCTTATAGCAGTAAAAAGGAGTAAACGAATCACCATAAGCCAGGGCTGACCAGATGACATCTGATTTTTGTTTTTAACTACTACAGATGAAAAACTTTTTCCATCTGCTTTGGTCAAACTCATGTATGTGTGTGTGTGTGTGTGTGTGTGTGTGTGTGTGTGTGTGTGTTCAAGGAACATTTAGAAAGTGGAGTATAGCAATGATACTTCACTCAGGATCTCTAGGGTTCATTTTTGTCCATCTAAAAGGATAATAAAACACACAAGTCTTCCTATCTCATTACATACAACGGAGAGGGGAAAAGTAAATATTTAAATGTGAATGATGATGCAGGAACGGAGAAAGTAGAATTTAGCAAGCACCTAATGTGTGCCAACTGTTTTGATTACATTATTTTATTTAATCTTCACAACTGTCCAAATTGGGGACAATTGGGAAATTGTCTTCTACCTCCCAATGGTAGAGATACTATGAATGTCCTTTTTATACAGATTAGTAAACTAAAACTTACGTAGACTACATCCTAAAGTCATATGGCAAGTGATTTCCTGAGTCAAAATCCTAATAAATACATATGGCTCCAGAATCAGAGATTCTTTGATTACTAATAATTAACAAATAAACTGCTTCCTGGTGAATTGAAACAAACAGAGACTTTAAAAAGAAATGAAGATTGAAAGATGTCTCCTTGTACACCCTACAGCCAATCATCAATTTCTGGGATCCCTTCTAACCTGCACTGATGGCCATACAGTGATCCATAGGGGACTTGAGTATATTTAGATCACAAATGGATTTTTCTTCTTTTCTCTCATCCCTTGTCCAAGGTAAAGCTCAGATGTTTGCCTGAGATAGTATGCCAGTAAGGTACCATTAGCCTGTGATCACATGAGAGAGAGAGATGGATCCCATGCATTTTTGTTTTAAACTCTGACATTTTTTTATTTATTTAACTGGTTCCACTCATTTAGATGTCTTACCATTTTCTCCCTCTTGCCACGTGCAACAAGTATTAAAATGAACATCCTTTAATGTCATATCTTTTCCACATGAGCATGGATATCTGTGGGCTATATTTCTTTTTTTTTTTTCATTTTATATAAGTTTGCTTACAAAGTCTGTATATATACGGACAAATACTGCATAGGACCGTTATTATAAAAATAGAAGGATAATTAGTAAAACATGAATGGAGACCCAAGAAGTGAAGCGGTGGGAACAGAGGGGTGAGAATGGGTAGGGGTGTTGCAGAGTGTGGTGGGGGGAGGGAGAGCGTGAAAGAAATAGGAAGGATCTAGGCGAAAAGATGGTAATAATGGGTAAGGTCCAATGAGGATTAATTTTGTAAAACATCATGCATGGGAATTAGTGTATGAAACACAGAATGAGTGAAGAATAGGGTGATCCTATGCATTTTTAAATCCTCGGTGTCATTTGAATCCAATCACCGTGTTACCTCCGAGAGATCTGTGCAGTACTTACTGTGGAAACGGCAGTGTGCTGTGCAGCGAGATCACCTTTGCCGCAGGCATGGTTAAAAGAATCAATTTAGTGATGACCGGTAGGAACAGCATGGTTTTTGAGGTGTTCGATATTTTTTGCTCTGTCACAGGATCTGACTTATTGATGTCTTCAGATCTGAGTCCAATTTCTTACAGCTATCCAAGGACATTCTAATCTCTGCTACAAAATATCTATGAAGAGATGATCGAAACTTTGGAAACCTATTGACAAGGGAGAATAGTGAGTATTAGTGGTTTGCACTGTTTTTAGATATATGGCGCAGATACTGAAGAGGAAAGGGTGGCTGTGAAGATGAAATCAGTACCCTATTTTCCCCTCATTTTCAACAGTCCACTGGATTTAAGACTTAAAAGAGATTAATAGTATAAAGCTCTGGTGGTCTAGTGGCAAGAAGCTGCACTACAATCTCAAAAGCACTCAGTTCAAATCCAACAGCTGCTCCTCGGGAGAAGAATGGGCGATCTTCTCCTGTGCAATTAACTGCCTCTGAAAACCCACTGGAGGGTCAGTTACAGATTGCTTCTCACTTGACAGCACACAACAACAGCAACAGGAGAGTAATAAGGAATATCATGTTACCAACATTTTACAATCCTCTATCAAAGAAAGAGCATCTCACGGTTACACTATCTTTTTCTCTCTCTCATTTAATAATTTCTTCAGCAGCCATTATCAAGTGACTTATCCTAGGCCTTTGTTCTCTTCCTCTTCTGAGATTCTTTTGCTTTTAAATTTTCTTCATGTCCTTTTTTTGCTCCCCCACCTTTATTCCCCTTGCTGTTTTATTGAGTACCATCAAGTCAGAACCGACCCATAGCTGACCCTCCAGTGGGTTTTCAGAGGCAGTTAATAGCATGGGAGGAGATTGCCCATCTTTCTTCCACAGAGTAGCTGGTGGATTTGAACCACACACATGCCTTTGGGATTATGGTGCAATTTCTTACCAGTAGGCCACCGGAGCTCTCTTACTTCCCTTAGTCTTTACATATTCTCTGCGTTGATGGTGAAATAAAAACATAGTTTGATTGTGAAATGACAATACTATGTGAGAAGGTATTTGAACTAAGAATTGAGCTGAGGGTAAGGCTTGGTGCAGCTGGATAATTTATGTGCTTTAAGAAGGACTTTTTATAGTGTCATTCATTTTTTTATTATTATTTCCTCATTTCAGGCATGTCTAAGGTTTTCACTAGTCAAGAAGGAACTAAACTTGTCTCAATGGAGAATACGTCTATAATGGCTGACTTCATCCTTCTTGGCATGACAGACGACCCTCAGCTTGAGGTTCTGCTATTTGTAGTCTTCCTTGTTGTTTATATGGTTACGGTGTTGGGCAATCTAAGCTTGGTCTTCCTGATCAGAGTTAGCCCCCACCTTCACACTCCAATGTACTTCTTCCTGTCTAATCTGTCCTTCCTTGATGTCTGTTTCTCATCCACCACTATCCCAAAGACTTTGACAAATTTACTGTCTAAGTTGCAAGCCGTTTCTTTCCTTGGATGTATAACTCAAATGGGCTTTTTCATAATCTTTGCCTCTGCGGAATGCAATCTTTTGGCTTCTATGGCCTATGACCGCTACACTGCCATCTGCTACCCGCTGCTTTATCATGCTACTATGTCTAAAGTTCGTTGTGTCCTCATGGTGACAGGATGCTACCTTGGGGGGTTAGTTAACATGGTTGCTGTGACAAGTTCCATTACACAGCTGTCATTTTGTCCACCACGTGTTCTTCCTCACTTCTTCTGCGACATCCCTCCACTGCTGGCATTGGCTTGTTCAGACCCCTGGATCACCCAGCTATTGGTTGTTGGCTGTGGGGGATTCACGCTGATCACCTCTGTTGTAGTGATCCTTGTCTCTTACTTGTATGTCCTCATGACTATCCTGGGAATTCCCTCAGCTTCCGGCAAACACAAAGCCTTCTCCACTTGCGCTTCTCACTTGACTGCTGTTGGTCTGTACTATGGAACAACCATGTATACTTACTTGGAACCCTCTAGACATGGATCTCAAGCTGGAAATCAGATGGTCTCAGTGTTTTATACAACGGTAATCCCTATGTTAAATCCTCTTATCTACAGTTTGAGAAACCAGGAAGTAAAAGCTGCCTTATGGAAAATACTGAGGCGCCATCGCTAATCTTCATTTCTGTGTCTTGTGAATGTAAACTAATGTCACTGCCTTTGGGCTAGAACTGACTCCTTGCTGACCTTCCAGTGGGTTTCCAGTGGCTGTAAATGGCACAGGAGGAGTTTGCCCATCTTTATCTTATGCATCACCTGGTGTATTCGAACTGCCTGCCTTTGTGTTGACAATGCAATGCCTTACCCAGAGCTTCCTGCATTACATAAATGTAATATATGTTACAAAGACTTGTTAAAGTCACAGTGCTTTAAATGCCCACACATTAAACCTTGTTAGGAGCAATTGAAGCATTCTGGCTAAGTGTTTAAAACTAGTAGTTTAGGTAAATTGAACACATTAAGAGAAAATCATATGGAGAAAATAATGTATATTTTCTTTCTGAAACATTTGTCTGATATGAAATGTTTCCTATTTGCATATGAGAATGTCAGTCTGAATTGTGAGTTGATATGACATTGCTTGTCATGAGATAAAATAATTTAAAAAAAATGAAAAAAATAATTTCAAGATAGCTTGAGCATTAGAAAACAATATAATTTGACTATACATTGTAGAATAAACCCTGAATGGCAACTGGGATGCAAATTCTTTTATTGTCTCATTCATGTGGTTATATTGAAGACTCAATTGATACTTCAACAATTAAATTTCATTTGGTGGACGTATCTCATAAGCATTTAAAAGATTAGATATGTATTTTATAAACGTTGCCCCACCTCAACTACTGAGGCTAAAGAATATGAGTATGTTGTACTTGCTGTGAGGCTGAACACTGTGACACTGATGTGTCAAATGCGTTAATGGTTGGTTACCCAATGCGGACTGAGAGTGGGGTGGAGCTCCCCAATGAAAACAAGCTTGGAAGGAGGAGAGGCTTCCACTTCTCTAAATGCTTGCCTCCAGAAACTCTATGAACCTGGAGAGAGCATGAAAGGCACCCAAGTGTCGAAGACTCTCCTTCTTAGGTTCACTATGAGTCGCCTGCTACTTGACGGCACTTAACAACATAGAGATAGAGATAGAGATAGATAGAGAGAGAGATATGTATAGATAGATAATGTATAGATAGATATATGTATATGTATACACACACACACACACACACACACACACATGCAAATCACATGTGAAATGATTGAGGTTTATAGGAGTAAATAAATTCACTCTCAGCCAGAGGCTAGATCAGTTAATGAGTTATTGTTGTTATGTGCTGTCAAGTCAGAATTAACTCAGATCTGACCCTTCAGCGGGTTTTAAAACGCTATAAATCACATAAGTGGAGATGTCCATCTCTCTCCCACAGAGCAGCTTATGAATTCAAGCAGCATGTCTTTAGGTTGGCAGCATAACTCTTTACCATTAGGTCAACAGAGCTCCCCAAATCATTTAAACAGGGCTCGACTCATGACTTTCTGCATGTAAAGCAGAAATGATAACCACTACATTACAGGACCTCCATAATGAGAGAGTGAACAACATATGTTCCTATCTCAACAGATCTGAACTCTGTCCTATCCTGTGCTGTCCTTATCATCTCTGACACACTTGAGCCCATCGCGGTAGTCATTCATCTCATTGAGGGGCTTCTTCTCTTTTGCTGACCGTCCTACTTTCCAAATATGATGTTCCTTTCTAAGGAATAGCCTCTCCTAGCAACATATTGCTATGTTTCTATGCAGGAAACATATTGCACTGGGAAAGTCTGTAGTCAAGGATTTCTCCAAATTAAGAATCAATTATGTCAGCTTGAGAACTAACATGCACCTGATTCAGGCTATGGCCTTTTCAATCACTTGCTATGCATCTGAGAACTGGACAGTTACTAAGGATGACAGAAGAAGAGCCTTTGAATTATGGGATTGGAGAAGAGTGCTGAATAGCTCCTGACTGCCAAAAGAGCAAACAGATATGTCTTGGAGAAGGTACAGCCCAAGTGCTTCTTGGAGGCAAAGATAATAAAACTCTGTTCCTTACTTTGGACACATTGCTAGGAGAGGCTGTTCCTTGGAAAGGGATGACAGGAAAGGAGAGGAAGAGCTTCAACTAGGTGAGCTGACACAGTGACTGCAGCAATGGGCCTGAGTGTGTCAGAGATTGTGAAGATGGCACAGGGTAGGACAGGGTACAGATATCTCGTTCACAGGGTTGCCATGTGTCGTACTTGACTTGCTGGCACCTAACAGCTACAGCAACATGCTCAGAGTATGTGAGAGGAAGTTTTGCCATCCTTGTCTCCAAGGAACAGTCTGAACTGCATTGTTTCCGAGACATACTCTGTTTGTTCTTTTGGCAAACTATGGAATATTCAGTATTCTTCTCCAGCACCGCCGCTCAAATGCATCAATTCTTCTGCTGTCTTTACTCATTATCCAGATCACAGATGCATAATAAGTGATGGAAAATATCACGGCCTGACTCCGGCACACCTTAGTCCTCACACCGACATCATCGCTCTTGATTAATTTGGAGAGGTCCCTGCCTGCAGAAATTCCCAATGCAATACCTCCCCTGATCTCCTCACTGCTAGTACCAAGTATGCTGATTTTGGATTTATGTAAGATGAAGTCGTTGACAATTTCAATCTTATCTCCATCTCTCGTGATGTTGCCTATTGGTCCAGTGATGAGAATTTTTGTTTTCGTTATGTTGAGATCTAATCTTGAAGGCTATATTCTTTGATCTTTTGCAGCAAGCACTTCAATTCCTCCTCAGTTTCAGCAAACAACGTTATGCCATCTGCATAGTACAGGTTGTTGATGAGTCTTCCTCCAATCTTGATGCCACATTCTTCTTCATAGATTCCAGCTTCTCAAATAATTTGCTTAGCACACAGATTGAATAGATATGGAGAGACGATACAACCCTGACACACATTTTTTTTTTAAATTTTAAACCATGTAGGGTTCCCTTGCTCTAGTCACACAGCAGCATCTTGGTCTAAGTGTAGATTTTCATGATCACAATTAAGTGTTCTGAAATTGCTATTCTTCTCAATGTTAGCCTTTTATAAAGCATATTGATGTGTCTCAGTATACTTGAAATATACTCAGTATACTTGAAGTATACATGTATAAGTGAGAGGCAATTAATTCATTAGGTCCATGTCAGTCCTCAGTATTCGATAGATGATGAAATTTGTTTTTTTTTAATCTCAATGTATTGAAAAAACTGGCCAGCCATAAAAACATGCAAATCTATATCATAAGAATAGAGACTTGTACACCAATGCTCATAGCAAGAGTTGTTCACCATCACAAGAACATGATAATAGACCAAATGCCCAACCACAATGGAATGGATTGAGAAATAATGCTACATTCACATGATGGAATACTATGCAGCATGCAGGAGCAAGGATTTTGTCAATTACTACCTAGCGTGGGAGGGACTGGAGAGCATTATGTTAAGTGAACTAACTCAGTCTCATAACATAAACCATACAAGGTAATTAGTGTAGAACAAGTATGAGGATTCAAGTCAGGGAAGGAGGCTTCATCATAGAGTCACACAATTTGATGGGTGGAGGGAGAAATGGGTAAAGGGAAGGGGAAAGGTCCGGTATGAAAAACAATGTATAAGAACTTTATGAACTTTGTGTGACTCCAAGGAACAGCCCGGCTTCACCCTTTCCAGGACAAACCTGTTTGTTCTCCTAGCAGTCCATGGTATATTCAACACTCTTCTTCAGCACCACAGCTCAAAGACATCAATTCTCTTTCTATCATCCCTAGTCACAATCCAGCTCTCCAATGGATAGCATGCAACTGTGAAGACTATAACCCAGATCAGGCACACCTTAGTCTCCAGCCTGACATCATTGCTCTTCAGTACTCTGTAGAGGTCCTCAACAGCTGGCTGACTTTTCCAATGCAGTTCATCTCTTGATTTCCTGCCTGCTGGTACCAAGAGTGTTGACTGTGGAGTTAAGCAAACTAAAACTTTTAACAATCTCAATCTCTTCACCATCCATACTGATGCTGTCAGTTGGCCCAGTGGTGAGAAACTTTGTTTTCTTGATGTTGAGTTTCAATCCATATTGAAAGCTGCCGTCCTTGATCTTCTGCAGCAATCACTTTAGGTCCTCCTCAGTTTCAGCAAGCAGGGTTGTGTCATCTGCATAACACAGGTTGTTGATGACTCTTCCACCAATCCTGATGCCACATTTCTCCTCATAGAGCCCAGCATCCTGGATGATCTATTCTACATACAGATTGAAAAGGTATGGAGATAGAATATATCCCTGGGGGACACTCTTCCCAATTTTGAACCTTGCAGTGTCTCCTTGCTCTGTTCTGATGATGGCCTCTTGGTTTCACATAAGCACAATCAAATGTTCTGGGATTCCCATTCTTCTCAGAATCAGCCACAGCTTGTTGTGATCCACACAGTCAAAAGTCTTTGCATAGTCAATGAAGCACAGATAGACATTCCTCTGGTACTCTCTGTTTTCTGCCAAGATGCATCTAACATTAGGTATAATATCCCTGGTACCACTACCTCTTCTAACCCCAGCCAACACATCTGGCAGTGCTTTGTTGACGTGTTGCTTCAGTCATTTTTGGATAATTTTCAGCAGAATCTTGCTTGCATGTGATATTAATGATACTTAATTACCTCATTAATTAATTAATTTCTGCACTCTGGCAGGTCACTTTTCTTTTGAATGGGAACAAATATCAATCTTTTCCAGTCAGCTGGCCAGCTGGTTGTCCTCCAGATTTCTTGGCACAACTTAGTGAGCACATCCAGGATAGTGTCTGTTGAAATATGTCAATTGGTATGCCATCAACTCTGAGAGCTTTGTTTTTTGCCAGCTTGAACTTCCTCCTTCTTTCTAAACCTTCTCTTTCACCTTTCCCCCCTTCATTCGATGAGCTACCAAGTAATTGCCAATTCTCTTTCACAAATGTCTTTTCTTCTTCTCTGTTGCCATTGGCCTGCCCTAGATGGTGTTACATCTTGTCTGGATTAGCAAAACACAGGTATGGCATTTC